CACGCCAGCCGGCACTCTCCCGCCCTGGCCGGCTGCTCGCGACCGTCGGGCAGCGGAGGAGGTCTACCGGGGTCGCGAGGAGGAGTAGCCGGACGCCGCGATGGAGGATGTAGAGGAGCAGGCTCGCCAGGTGAGGGCTCAGAGGCGCAAGGGCTCGAGTCAGGCCCCCGCCAAGCGTTCCATGATCGAAGGGGCGGCGAGCTCGGACGACGCCAGCAACTCCGGGGAGACGCTCCAGATCTTCAAGAACCTCGCGGCCAAGCAGGAGGCGCAGGACCGCGTGATTGCGGGCCTGCAGAGCACCATCTCAGGGCAGATGAACGCTTTGGCCACGATGCAGTCGCAGCTCCAGGCGAACTCGCAGCCAGGGGCGCCGCTGAAGCAGCAGCCCGAATTTCCCCCGCAGCAAGTGCCGCCGCAGTCCACCCAGGCGCACCAGCTCAGCCCGCAGCCAGTCCCATGGGCGAGCGCTCCGGCGCGAGGGCCGGGACACGGCGGGGCAGCAGCGGTGAAGGGCCAGACGGACGAGGTCCGTCGCCAGGGACCTCCAGGTCTACATCAGCCAGCAGGAGTTCCTCCCGGCGTGCCTCAGATGTCGATTGCCACGCCGCCCACGCAGGTCAGGCAGACGATCGGGATCGGCATGACCCCCCAGGTCGCGGGCCTCCAGGGGTGGGGAATCGTCGGGACGGCGCCCGCGACCCCCGCCTACCCGTCGTACGGTCTGCCTCCCCCGCAAGCAGCGGCCGCAGCGGGCTCGTCGGTTCAGTGGCCGCCTCCAAAGGGGTATGCGGCATCGCAGAGGAGCCTGCTGAAGAAGGACACCGCCAACCCGAAGGGCATCCGCGACAGGGAGGGTCAGCTGGTGACTTCGTCCACCATCAGCAGCATAGCCACGTTTCCCTCTGTTCAGCCATCACAGGGGCCGGCGCCAGCCACGCCGGCGGGACATCCCACGGCGACCGCCTGGCAGCAGGAGAATCCGCAGCCACAGGGGCGTCTTGGTCGCCCACAGAAAGCCTCAGACGCAGCTTGGCAGCCGTCCGAGGACGAGCGCGCCTGGGAGGCCCAGGAGCACCAGAAGGACGCGGAGAAGCGCAGGCTGGCCCAGGAGGGCTGGACTCCGACGGGGTGGCAGGACTACCGCTACGACAGCAGCGACGCCAAGTGGAAGTGAGTAGGGCGGCGAAGCCATCTAGTACCGGTACCAGGATAGGGGATCCCAACCACCCAAACGTATACACCATGGAAGCGGGGTCCCGGGAGTCCTTCGTGAAATTATGTTCGCTCTTTGAGGTCACCGAGTTGGGGGGGAGTCAGGATGAGATCCGTTTCAGACGCCGAGAGCTCGACGACACCATCTTCGGCGATTTCAATTCCGACGACAGGGAAGTTCTCCTTAACAGACGGGAGAGAAAAAACACATATGTCGATTCGGGAATCCCTAATAAGATCAAGAGTTTCAGGGCTCAGCTGAGGAGGCGAGCTTTTGCGGAGGTGATCTCACCTCCAAGAATCGTCAAGCACGCCGAGCATGCTGGCATCAGGGGTGTCGGCAGCTTCGATCAGGAGGGGGGATGGGACTTCAGAAAAGAGGATCACAGGCGCAAGCTTAGAACCCGCCTCCGAGAGGAAAAACCGTGGCTGGTGGTTCTTGAGCCCCCCTGTGATCAGTTTTCGATCGCCCAGAATGGCCAGCTCCACCGAGAAGTCTCAGAGCATCAGCGACGAAAGTACGCCGAAGCTCTGGTCCTTCTCGGTTTCGCCATGGAGGTGGCTCTGGAACAGCATCAAAACCACAGGAAGTTTGTTTTTGAGCACCCTGTCACGGCCAGTTCTTGGTGTACGAATGTGGTTCGTTTCATCCCGGAGCTCCCGGAGGTGCGCGTCACGGATATCGACATGTCGTTTCGGGCTTTCGATCGCCAAAGGGGGGGAGCGCTCGAAGAAACCCACTAGACTGTCAAATTGCGAGGTTTTTCTCCGGCGCTTCGAGGACGCCCGATGCCGGGGCGACCATCCTCACGCCCTGTTGATAGGAGGAGCTATGACCAGTGCGGCCCGCGTTTACCCTTCCAAATTCTGCAAGGCTCTGGCCGAGGCCATCCTTTCTAGCATCGAGGAAGCTTACCCTCCCCCGACATCAGAGCAGGTCGCCCGTGCCAGGCAGCCGGAGTACAGGCAGCTCTACACGGCCGCGAGTTTTCCGACTGAGGCTGAGGAAGGCCAAAACGTGGAGGAACCTGGTCCCGAGGAAGCCGAGGAAGACAATCAGGTTCCTTCTAGGCTTGAGATTACCCCAAAGGTTCGAAGAATGATCCACAAGGTTCACGTCAATCTGGGTCACCCCCATAAGGAGATTTTTCGTGAAAATCCTGAGAGCTGCTCAAGCCAAGCCAGAGGTCCTGCAGTTTGTTCGTGATGAATACCAGTGCGGAGATTGTGCCGCACACGCTCGCCCCGACAGCACGCGACCAGCTGCTGTTCCCAGGACTTTCGAGTTCAATAAGATAGTGGCTATGGACACCTTTTTTATCACCTTTCAGGATCAGCAGCTGGCCTTTCTCAACGTGATATGTCATGGCGCTAACTTTCAGATCGTTGAGATGTACGATGGCACGGCGCTGGGGGCCTGGAGGGCTCTTATGAGGTGTTGGATTCGACCCTGCGGGGTTCCCCTCTTCGCAATCACGGATGGAGGATCGGAGTTCAAGGGGGAATTCGAGCGGGGAGTAGAACACCTCTGAGTTTTTCAACACGTCACGGACTCCGAGAGTCCGCGGCAAAACGGCAGAGCCGAGAGACATGGGGGCTGGGTGAAAGACATTCTCGTGAAGGCTTCTGAGGGGGTTCTCGTCGCCACGCCGGCCGAGCTCGAAACTCTCGTTCATGAAGTCGTCTCGGCCAAGAATCGGTATCTTCATAGGGGGGGGGGGTCGCGCCATATCAACTCGTCTTCGGGATCAACCCCAGGATCCCGAACGACCTCACTGGAGACGATCCCCTCCAACTCGTGGGGACCGAAGATCTCTCTCCTGGATCCTGGGACAGCGACACGGCAGCGGCAGAGCACGCCCGTCGGGACGCCATCCGCCGCCTGGCCAGGAGAGAGCTCTTCGAGAGCTCCAGTCGGCGGCGCCTCGCGGACGCAGTCCGCTCCTCGGTGCACCGAGAAAGGCACTTCAGTCCTGGTCAGTGGGCTTACGTCTGGAGGAGGGCCCCCAGAGGGGGCCAAATAAATTCTTGCGCTGCAGAAGGATAGGTGGGTCGGTCCTGGGCTGGTCGTTCTTCGCAACGGCACCTCCGTGTGGGTGGCGATGCGGTCCAGATTGCGGAAGTGCTCCACCGAACAAGTTAGGCGCGCCACGACAGAGGAGTCCCGGGGTGCCGAGGTTCTTTCCGACGTTTCAGTTCAGATGCTGCTTAGGGAAGCTCAGACGAGTAATCACCGGGCGGGGGCCAACGTCGCCGCGGAAGGCCCCCCGCCACCAGAGGCCTGGGGGCCCGATGCTCAGGTCGCCGAAGCCGGGCCGGTTGAAGCCCCACCTGTTGAGCAGGACCCAGGCGCTGGACCCGAAGGGGCGCTTGGAGAGCCTCCACCTCCTCCGCCAGGACTGTCGGGGGGTCCGGGAGAAAGCACGGGGGGGCACCCGGCCGCGGAAGCCGGTGGAAATGCTCTTTTCTAGGGGCTCCAGTGGGCCAGAGAGCCGGTCTGTTTTGCCCGTCGCCAGAAGCGTTAATGACAGGGATGGCGGTCCAGGCAAGACCAGTAGGCGTAGGCAACCACTGCCCCAAGGAGAGAAAACAGACAGGGGGGGCGGGGGTAGTTCCGGAACGTCGGCCGACCCTCCCTTTGCCGCCTCTCCCTCCTCTTCCTCTGCTCCGCCTGTCAGCGCTCACAAGCTCGATGCCTCTGACACGGCCAGTCGACATCGCAGCGCGGAGCCAATAGACCCTGGTCCGCTCAATCGCCTGATGCAAGATAGTGCTCGGCGAGAGCTGTTGGACCTGGGCTCTAGGATTCAGAGATCCCGTGCTCTCGGGGAAAGGTTTGGCGGCGCCACTCCAGGCAGAGTGCGGCAGCAGGTACAAGAGCTGGAGAGACGCTTCGCCGAGGACCGCCGCTCCAGGTCTCCAGAGGGGCAGGGATCCCGGGCGGAGACTCTTTGGGCCTTTTTGCGACGAGGAAGTTGATCAAGACACTTTCCGCAATCAGCTTGATGAAGAGGTCTGGAACGAGGGATGGAGCGGAGACTGGTTAAGTTACTCCAACGGAAGTGCTGACGTTGAAATCATCCCGGGGCCAGGGGGAAGCTGTGACCTTTCTTTGCTTGTGAACCGAGGGGCCGAGGTCAGGTACAAAGACCTGAAGGGGGAAGAAAAGAAGCAGTTCGATGAGTCTGACGAGAGCGAATGGAAGGCCATCGCGGAAGGCACTCGCGCCGTGATCGTTCATCCCCCCGAGCAAGCCAAAGAATTGAGACGTCTTTTTCCCACTAGGATTGTCTCTAGTAGGATGGTTAGGAGATGGAAACCCCAGGAGGGGACACACGCCCCTCCCAAGGCTAAATCTAGGTGGTGCGTGAGGGGTCACCAAGACGAGGATACGAGCGAGCTTCAGGTTTATGCCCCCACTCCGTTCATGGAGGCTTTGATGCTGTTCTTGGTGGTTTCCCTCATGTACAAGATGTGCATCTACATAGGAGATATCAAGAACGCGTTCTGTCAGTCAGAACCACTCAAGAGGGCCAGGGGGAGGGTTTTTGTCGAGCCATGCGAGGGGGTTCCTGTTCCTTCGGGGTCCCTCATTGAGCTGATCGCCCCGGTTTACGGTCTCGACGACGCCCCTCTCGAATTTCACAAGACCACCGCTAATTTTCTCAAGTCGCGAGGTTTTGAGCGGACTCGTCTCGAACCGCGTTGGTTCGTGGAACGGGCCAAGCAGGCCCTCCAGGCCCAGGTCCTCGTTGAAGTGGACGATTGGGCCATCGCGCTCCGAGAAGGGTGCGAAGTTAACTACCTGAAGCCGTTCCAAGCGAGGCTTACGTTTGGAAAAATGAAAAGGCTCGACGCCGCTGGTGTGGAGTACATAGGCAGAAGGCTGCGTCTGGACGGGGACAGGGTCCTGGTGGACCAGGAAAAATACATTCTGGAACAGCTTCAGAAGATCCCCCTTGCCCGAGGTCGGAGGGGGAATCACGAGGCCCCTCTTGTCGGCGGCGAGGTGGCCGCCTTCCGGTCGCTCGCGTATAAGCTGCAGTGGGTGGGCAGGGAGACCCGCGCCGAGGCCGCGGGCGCGGCCTCGATTCTTGCCACAAAGGTCAACGGCCCTTCGGTCAAGGACCTGTTGGACGCTAACAAGATGGTGGACCACCTAAGGTCCACCGCATCTCTTCCCATAGTAGTCTGGAGGTTTCGACCGGGCGGTTTCGCGCTGGCCACTGCCAGCGACTGCGGAGGTATAGGGGCCGAGGATAAGAAGGGGGCCCCCCAGCACCCTCAAGAGGCCCGGCAAATTTATATTGCCGATAATTATTTAGCTCGCGGGCCCCGGGCCCGGGTGACCCCGATAGCATGGCGATCGGGAAAACTGCGTAGGCAAGTGGCGTCTACCCTGGCAGGGGAGACGTTGTCTCTCTCGAGTGCATTAGGCGAGGCGGAGTGGCTGCAGATTTTGCTGCTCGACGTCGCTCGCGGCAATGTTGTCCATGAGCGGTGGCGGGAGAACCTCGGCCCGTTCGTAAGTCTTCCCAAGGAGGACTGCACTGTGCTTGGAGAGCCGGTGACCGGCAACGTCAGCGTCGTAGACGCGAAGGGGATCTATGACACCCTCTCGAAACTCACGTCGGGGACCAGGTCGGATAGGAGGGCCGCCATAGATCTAGCCGTCGCCAGGGAAACCATGGATCGGATAGGGAGCGCGATCAGGTGGGCCCCACATCCCCACATGCCCGTGGACTGCCTCACCAAGGCCGATCTGGCCAAGACGAATGCCGCCCAACTCGCTTTGCTCAAGTCGGGCATGCTTAGGCTCAGATCCGAAGAGGATTCCCTAAGAGATCGCAAGGACGACCCCCAGGTCAAGAACCGATCCAGAGCCGAGTCCAGGCGACAGCTGCAGTGATTTCTGCCCTCTGTCTCGCCTCTTTCACTTCTCCCTTTTCAAGGCACTGGTGTGGCAAGAGTTTCTCTTCGCATAGTTTTGGAGCGCAGCTTTCCTGTCCAAGTGTTCTCGTTGTGCCGGTGACTGCCTCTTTTTTTTGTTGCGGGGAACACTAGGTGGGCAGAGTGCGTGTGTGATCGGACGCAGGAGTGCGGACCCCTGCTCAGTCCAACCACTCTGCCTAGCCACGAGGACGGCGTCCAAAATGCCGTTTTTCTTTCGCCCACCAGCGCCAGCACTGCTAGCATGAATCGTTTGAAGAATGCCAAATGGGTCATGGATGTCGCACCTCTGTTCAAGCCCACTATGTTTCGGGGGACTGTGGGAATGAACGCCTACAGCTCATTGATTTGCAGTTGTGTCCTCCGACGTTTGCCTATGTGCTTGAACATACAGAGAGGGGTGCGACGTCCGTACCCATTTTGGCTCAAGCCGCACATCCCTCACAGCACCTCTCTGTCAATCCCAGTCACCTTCCAATCCATCCCACCTTCCCTCCGATATCCTGGCTGGCAGCTGCTGGTGGCCTTGGGACATTGTTCGGACGGGCTCGAGAAAGAGGCAGCATCTCATCCTGAGCTGACATCGTGGGGAGACAGGTGAGCCCCCCCACAGTTTTTTCCTTTCAGAGCCCCATGGCCACCGCGATAGATGTAGCAGGCATAGCATGTGGGAGAAGCCGCAAGGGGTGGTACTTGCTCAGTCGCGTCTGGAGTGTAGGGATGTTTGTAGTGAAACGCTGGTTTTGCCCCCCCCGCCCTCCCCGTGACCACCGCGACTTGAGAACCCCAGTGTCGCACTTGCCTGTTCGTGTCCAGATTGCGGGGATGTCTCGAGCGAGCCGCTGGTTTTGCCCTCCCCCCCCCGCCCCACCCCGACCCACCGCGCTTGGCCTTCAGAGCCCCAAGGCCAGATGTAACCCCAAGAGGGGGCCACCAGAGGGTAGGAAACTTTCCCGTTCGCGCCCAGATTGTGTGGAGTCTCAAGGGGAACGTGGTTTTACCTCCCCTAGCGCCTTTCTCTTGAGAGGTCAATGAACGCCGTGATGCAACAGGCATAGCACTTGGGCATCCCAAGGGGGGTCCGCCAGGGGATTTACAGTCATGCCCAGACCCACTTACAGTCAGACCCAGCTGTTCTCAGCCGGCTCATCTCAGACACTCACAGAGAGGAACATTGCCAGACATTTGCGCACGCGCGGACTTCTGAGTCGAATGGTTTGCTCGTCCTACGCCACGAGGCCAGCGGGATGTCCAACGCCGCGGTAGCCGAGGACGCGGAGTCGACGCCGGGCGACACCACCCTCGCCAGCGAGATCGCGGCAGCGAGGTCAACCAGGGTTTCCGAGGCGGGGCGCGTCAGCGGGGCGGGTGAGCGCGGAGCAGGAGGGACGTGCGAGGTTCGAGGCACTGGGCTCGGGAAGGGTGAAGGATTCATACCTTGTTCGGTCTCCGGGGGCCGTATTCGGGCCCAGGGACGGTCAAACACGGATCCGGGGTGAAGAATTGCAGCAGATGGACTTTGGCTTTATCCCCTCTCCTGAACGATTTTCTGGAGCCCCAACCACTTCAGACCCCTGTCCGCCTCCAGAGGGCAAGGAGGCTTGATGGAAGAGGAGGCGGCTGACGAGGCGGAGGATGAGGAGGAGGAGGAGGAGGGAAGAGGGGTGAGAGGAGGGCGAGGGGGAGGACGACGAGCAGGAGGAGGAGGAGGAGGAGGAGGAGGAGGAGCTCTATCAGGACGCTGAGGAGAAGGAGGAGGAGGAGTGAATATTGATTTGTTTCAGAACGTTTTAGCGGCCCTCGTCCCATCCCGCCACCGTGCCTGGATTGCGCGTCAGATGCCTCTTGGATGCCTTTCGAGGCCCCAGGGAAGCGAGCTCGTAGTCCTCCTGACGCCTAAGGTAGGGCTCAGTACGCAGTATTCGGTGCCCTGGAGGACCTGAGGGCACTCCACTCAGTGCCTCGCGCCAGTGCCTCGCGCCAGGATGGCAGCTGTTTAGACAGCGGTTTCCCCCCGCAGACGGTGGGACACTCTGGAGAGACAGTGCCGAGGGAGTCGTGGGTGAGGGTTCCCACTGCTTGTTACCCCGCATGCCACGCTTTTTTCGTTGCCATGCAGTGATCGAGAACCTCGCTGTCCAGAATGTGGCCCGTGCCCGCCATAGCGCCAATCATCATTCATCGTCGTTGCTGTCCAGTTCGCCCTCCAGATCGGTGGGGCTTGCCGACGGGCCCACCCTTTCACAGCCATTGGTCGGGGCCTCGCTATTCAGATCATCATCCAAGACATGCGATGTCTTGTTCTTTTCGATACGGGGTCTCCCTTAGTCCCAATCCGTTCCCCTGGGCTGGTCTTTCATCCCGAGCTGTTTTCGTTACGGTCCTGGGGCCGAATAAGAGTCCCCCAGAGGCCGAACATGTTCAAAAGCCTTCCGTCGTGTTTGTTTGTACACAACGCAAGCATGTCTGGGATTGTTTCTCCCTTTATCTCCGGACTCCTCGCTTGATTGGCTCTGATTCGGAACCGGCCGTCGCGGCGCCGCGACCGGACGGCCGGCAGGGAGGCGAGTCGAGTTTCTCGGGGCTAAAGAAACGGGGGTCAAGGCAAACGGGAGTCAGCCGCAGCCCCCGATCTTGCAGGATCCTGCAGGGCCAGGGTCGCATTTACCCGGTTCGGTTGCAGGATCCTGCAGGATCTTGCAGGATCCTTCGCATTGACCCGGGTTTGGGTGCAGGATCTTGCAGGATTTTGCAAGGCTTGGTTGACTGGGGTCTAGATTGACCTGGGTCGGAAGATCCCCGAATTTCGGCGCGGGAGCGGGCGTTGCACGCAGCACGCACCAGGACGGCGAGCTGCGGCGTGCAAGATGGGGGGCATGGCGTGGGGAGCCAGGGCTCGTTTCGGCTCCGACTCGATTCGACTCGATTTCGATCGATTCCCATTCGATTTGATTTCGGATTCCGATTTGGATTTGGGTTTCTCACTGGAGGCCTTTCCTAGCCTGCCGGTGTCCGCCGATTCGACTTCTCCCGACTTGGCCGCCGATTTCCGCCGATCTGGTTCATTTCCATCGCCGATCCGACTTATCGGGCTCTCCTGGGAGAACAGTTTTCTGAGAACGTGAAGGGTTTCTTGGAAAGGGGGGCCAATAGAAAGAACGCGCGCATGACTCTGAAGCGGCGGGAGGCCTCCAATGACCGGCCGTGTGGCTTCGCCGCCTTCTGCGTGCCGCCAGGGAGAAGCGGAGGTGGGCATCAAGGAGGGGGCGGACAGCCGAGGGGAAAGGACAAGCCAGGTGCGCAAGCGTCATATCTGACGTCCTACCCCTCCCTCCCGTCCCTGACCATTGCGTAGATCTCCTCTCGATTTGCACAGTCGGATGTCGAACTGGTCAATGACCCTGAGAGAATCCACGATGCATAGTATATTTTAGCACGGTATAGCGCACATGATTTGGAACGACTGAGAACGGGGAAGTAAAGCCAACGTTGTAGCGGGAGCGCCATTCTGAGAGGATTGAACACGTTCAGATAGGACACACAATCCTTTTAATTCTCAATTCGGCGGCACCCTGTGTGTAAAAAACAATTCGCGGAGGAGGCCAGGGCAGCGTCTTCGGGGTTCCGAGGAGAGGAGTATTCATATTGCGTAACTGTGGAAGCATGAGGGCGGTCAGTATCGTTTAGCCTGTCCCCATCCCCATCGAGCCATGGTATCTCAGCCCTAACTACCATCACACCGCCCCAGTTGGGAATGTACCCCTCGAAACCCGAAGTGAACAGCCTATGTCCTCACTTAGGGGGGTAAATCGGCCAGTGGGGCCCAGGCCACGCCACAGTTCAACGATGCTCGGACGGGAGGGCCTTCAGAGCAATCATGGGGACAGGATGCGGGGCACGGAGCGAGTAGTTGGAAGGGTGCGCTCGCTGTGCCGAGGTGAGTGCTCCTATCTCATTTGGACGAGGGCGGCCCTCGATTGAGGAGCGAAGACAGCAGTCGGACTTCTTTCGAAGATGACAAAACACTGCATGAACATACACTTTGGGAGCACCGTGCGGATTCCTTGGATCGGCGCTGGCCCCCCTCCCTGGCGCCGCTAGGGGGGGCCCAGCAGCGATCCACGATATCCGGGCGGAGCTCTGAACGCGCGTGTTTATAAAGTTTTGTTCGTCCAGTAGACTCTAGATAGCAGCAAGCTAACTCCTTCTGCCCGTGAGGCCAACCAGACGTCGAATGCAACGGCATCTGCGAGGGTGAAGCCGACGCCTAATACAACCGCGAGCACCAGCCCCAGCACCACCACCGCCACCACCACGTCCGCCAGCATGAGCAAGGCGGTCACGGGAGGGCGCCAGCCGTAGCACAGCATAGCCACACACATGTCCTCTGACGGGGTGCTTCATAGAATCGAAGAAAGGACATGCATAAACATAAATGTTCGTAATTCCGCGCGGATTTCTTGGATCTGTGATGGACCCGCCTGGAGGCGCCCACGGCGTCGCCGGTGGCGCGCTCCGCGCGCCAGCCACGGAGGGGAGCAAGCGCAGATCCAAGGAATCCGCATGGAGTTCGAAGAGTTTATGTTGATGCAGTTTTTTGTTCCTCTTTGGAAGTCGATGGTTAGTGCGAAGGCCTTACGGCCGGTGCCGCCGACCCTGAAGGCGGGACCTCGCCTGCAACCTCACCTGACGATCACCCCCAACCGCCCCCCCCCCCCCCCACACAACTTCCCCCCCAACCCCCACCCCCACCCGGCAGGGAAGAGAACATGGGACGGGAATCGACTCACTTACAACCTTCCTTTTCCTTGTTCCTCATTGGGGCTAGTGGCGATGACGACGAAGTCGACGACAACGCCGACGACGACCACGACGACGACGACGATGCAAAGCACGACGACGACGACGACGACAAGCACGAAGACGACGACACGACGAGGACGACAAGCAAGACGACGAGGACGACGACGACGATGACGACGACGACCACGACGACGACGACGAGTCAAACGGAAGAGCGTCCAACACACGCCGAAGGGTTGGCGGATTTGCCAGTTTCCAGCCTTGCGAAGCAATTGCATCACCGCCCGCCTCTCGTTCCTGCTCTCGCTCCAGCCAGTGATACTCCACCGCTCTTCCCTCCCTCCCTCTCCCCACTCGCGCGATGTCTTCATTCCCTGCCTTTACCCTCTTCTGTCCCCATGCCCCTCCCCCTGCACACGCTAAGCGTGAGCAGGAGAGAGGGGCATGGGGGCCGATTCGACTCCGATCGGGCTCGAAACAAAGAGTTCCGATTCGATTCCGATCTGGTTTACCGGTTCAGACTTCTGAGCCGATGCGGCGATCACCGATTTGAGTCCTGATTCTGGAATATTCCCTTGGATGTCGGTTTTGATCCAGGTTCTTGATCCGATGCTCATGCGTATTTCTCTTCGTCTGATCAATGGAGGAAGTCCGATTGCGAATTTCCACGACAATGAAACCAAGCAGTATTTGACATTCCGATTACCACCAACATTACGTTCCTGAGGTTTTGTCGATGACGAGCCGTTTTCCAGGATTGAGGAATCCAGTATCAGATCGACCTGTTGGGTCAAGTGGCCTCCACAAGTGCAAGATGAGTCCGAGGAGCAGGAGGAGGAGGTTGAGGAGCCACTCCCCCATCCTCCTCATCCTCCCCTCTGCGCCTCATCCTCATCATCCTTCGAAGTCCCATCCTCCTCCCTGCACTCCTTCTGCGAAGGATCAACACAGACATTCCTTACATGAGGGTGTTACAGCTATAGCCCCTTTGTGGAGCACCCATAGATGCCCCTATGTGGGCAGTGGAAAATTCTTTACGCTTCGCGTATCCCCACCAGCCCATCTCACAGCAGCAGCTCTCGCGAAGCATGCCGACAGTTGTGTTTTTCAGGCGGGTGTCCGCTGGGCTCCGTATATCTCCCCTGTCCCTCCTTCCTCCCGCTTCCTTGTCAATCCTTGTTGTGAGGTGAGGCGTTGGGGCACCTCGTCCGCGCGCGAGGTGATCGGGGTTTGCGCAGGTGGAGTCGTAGAAGTAGTAGTAGTAGGAGTAGTAGTAGTAGTAGTAGTAGTAGTAGCAATAGTAGTAGTAGTAGTAGTAGTAGTAATAGTAGTAGTAGTAGGAGGAGGAGTAGTATTAGTATTAGTATTGGTAGTAGTAGTAGTAATAGTAGTAGTAGTAGGAGTAGTAGTAGTAGTAGTAGTAGTAGTGGTAGTAGTAGTAGTAGTAGTAGTAGTAGTAGTAATAGTAGTAGTAGTAGTAGTAGGAGTAGTTGTCGTCGTAGAAGTAGTTGTCGTCGTAGAAGTAGTTGTCGTCGTAGAAGTAGTAGTGCCAGTAGAAGTAGTTGTCGTCGTAGAAGTAGTAGTGCTCGCAGTAGTACGAACAGGAGTAGCAATCATAGCAGCAGTAGTAGTACTAGTAGTAGCAGCAGTAGTTGTACTAGTCGTCGTCGTAGTAGTAGTAGTAGGAGTTGTAGTAGCAGTACTACTAGTAGTAGTAGTAGTAGTAGTAGTAGTAGTAGTAGTAGTAGTAATAGTAGTAGTAGTAGTAGTAGTAGTAGTAGTAGTAGTAGTAGTAGTCGATGTAGAAGCAGTAGTAGTAGTACTATCTCCGAACAGGAATCCCAGCGAAGCATGTCGACAGTCGTTTGGTGCAAGCGTGCGTCTGTCTGCCTTTGCATATATCCTCTGCTCCTATTTCTTTCTCCGTCCTTGTATAGCTACCTGTGGGGGGAGCCGAAGCAGGACGAGTCGGAAGAGGAGGAGGGAGGGAAGGATATAGGAGGCAAGACAGAGGGCGGTCGTCGTCGAGTCCAGCGATCTTTCCCGACCAGCGTCGTTGTCGTCGCCATTCTGGCTCCCAGTATTTCAGGGTGGCCGTGAGCTGCGCTCCGCCTTCAGTAATCGTCTCCGCCTACTAGCATCATCTTTGCGGCTGGCATGGAGAAGCGCCCGTGCGTTTTTGTATTCGCACTCGCTATGGGAGCTCCTTGGAGCGATCGCGGAGAATGTCGGTTGTCGGCATTCTCGCATCAGTTTGAGCTTCGACAGTGCGGTCGGCGCGATGTACTTCGGTTCGCATGGCCTGGAACGTGACGGGCAGGCCTACGCCGCGAGGGTAGTGAGCGTAGCTCAGCCCACCACGACGACGTCGACGAGGACGACAGGACGACGACGACGTCGAGACAACGACGTTGACGACGACCACGACGTCAATGGTGATTTGGCGTGCGAGCCGAACGCACGCGCCTACTGTGCTTTTGGCACGAGGTGTTTGTGTTGCGCAAGTGCCGCACGTAGTCCATCACGGCTACGGGCTTACCACTTTTGGTTATGATGCATGTCATATCCTTCTCCATTCGCCCCGCCTTCGTGTCAGCAGGACGTCGTTGCTGCTAGCGCTCGGTGACATGCAGGCACGGCGGTCATCGCGAGATGTCTCAGAGACGCGCCACTCTCGAGGTTTTGTCGGCACGATCCATCCTTATTGCGACATCAGGGCATTGAATCTCCTCCATACATATACGCGCGTACATTCAAAACAGAAGCATTCAGACATCAAATACGTATAGACGCACATTAAGAAGGCACAGAAAGACATACACAGAAGATGAACGTTGTTCCCCTCCTTTTCCCAAGGGGGTGAGGGGGCCCGCCATTTTTCCTTTGGACGTCGATCCGGCCCATGTCGACGTCTGAGAGTCGAAGTTCCAAGTTTCGTGCGCCGCGCTCGTGCGCAGTTGACGCGTCGAGCGTTACGAAACGTGGTGGCTGAATTGCACCGCCTGGTCTTGTGGAAAAACGGAGAAAAAGTGCAGCAGGTAGAAGGTTCGGAATTCTTGCAGGAGTACAATGTGCTGAGGGGGCATGCAGGTATTCAAGAGCTCGAGGCTATCAGCATGAGTGTCGGCCTATCCCGCCACAGTCTATGTAGTGGCTTGTGGCGTACTTGTCTCAGGGTATCCAGGGGCTTGCGGTCTAGCTTGCCATCGTGGCGCACGCTTCCTCGATTTTCAGGGCATAGTACTATACAAGGTTGTGGTTGGTCCAGCTGCAGATATCTTCCAGGGTTATCACAGGGTTTCTAAGTGTTGAGCGGCTGAGAATGGACACTACAGTCCGTTGGCGATTCTTGAGTGGCACGTTTCAGAAATGTCATGTTGTGTTGATTGTTGTGCCATGTTGAATCGTGTGCGGTCTTCTCCCAAGTTTTGTGTGAGAGTCAGTAGTTCACGACGACGACGACGACGACGACTACGACGACGACGTCCCTGCCTCTCGCTCCGGGCGGCCGTCTTGGCTGCCGCCGCGTTCGCTTTCCCTCGACGATGATCCCGACGATTTCCCACGTTTGGCCTGAAGGGCGGGTCCACTCCTTCGGTCGGGTCCCGTGTTGTTCTGGGGGGTGTTCTAGGAGTCGTTCGGGCCGTTCGTTTGTTTGTTACGGTTTTGGAGTTTTCTGTGCGTATTTGGGGCCGTTCGTCCTGGCGTGAGTCGTTGGGGCCCTTCCTTGTGTGGGAGTCGTTCGGGCCCCTCGGGGTGTGACAAGTTCGGGCGCCTCGTCCTGATGTGAGTCGTTCGGGCCTCTCCTTGTGTGTGAGTCGTCGGCGCGTTTCGTGGTATGAGACACATTTGGGATCTTCCTGGCGTGAGTCGTTCGGGCTCTTCTTCTTGCTGTGAGTCGCTCGGGCCCTTCCTTGTGTGTGAGTCGTTCAGGTTCCTCGTGGTGTCCGTCGTCCAGGCCCGTCGTCCTGGTGAGAGTTTTTCGGGCTCTTCATTGTGTGTGAGTTCATCGGGCTCTTCGTGGCGTGAGCAATTTGGGCTTCTCGGCCTAGGGGGAGTCGTTCGGGCCTATCCGTGTGTGTGAGTCGTTCGGGATCGTCCTGCAGTGAGTCGTTCGGGCGTTTCGTCGTGCTCTGAGTCGGTCGGGCTTCTCGTGGTGTGAGTCGTCTGGGCCCTTCGTCCTGGTGTGAGTTGTTCGGGCCCCTTCTTGTGCGTGAGTTGTTCCGCCTCCTCGTGGTGTGAGTCGTTCGGGCCTCCTCTCCTGGTGTGCGTCGTTCGGGCCCCTCCTTGTGTGGGACTCGTTCGGGCCCCTTGTGGTGTGAGTCGTTTGGCCTCCACGTCCTTGTGTGAGTCGTTCGGGCTCCTCCTTGCGTGTGAGCCGTTGGGGCGCATCGTGGTGTGAGTCGTTCGGGCCTTTTCGTCCTGGTGGGGGTTGTGCGGGGCCTTCCATGTGTGTGAGTCGTTCGGGCGCCTCGTGGTGTGACTCGTTATGGACGTTCGTCCTGGTGTGAGCCGTTGTTGCCGCCCTTTGC